CAGGGATTGTAATGCTTTGAAGAAAAGTCATATGTAAATACTCCCTCTGTAGATTGAGAGTAGACAGGGAAAAGCCTCCAGTGAAGTAACCCTTGAGTGCAAGGGACAGTGGCCTCTCACTGGCCCGACTCCAGCCCAGAGGCCTTGATGAAACAGACCCTTGCCTACTGGGATGACTCATGGGTCTCTGTAGGAACAGGACTGTGCAGCACACAAAAAGTGAAACAGGGTAAACAGAGGGAGTGGAATGGAGATTTAATTTCAAGGCATGAAAACTAAATAAAATTCAGTCTTGCTTCATCATCTTAATGAGACGACTGTAAATTAGGTTAAGGGGAAGCATCCTTTTTGGAGCCCCAGCTCAGTTTCCCTCTCATCACAAGGCTGAAGATCTCTGTCTAGCCTCTGTGGCTACATGCTTTATGAGAATAATCATTCTGAAGTCACAGAATCTTCTCAGAAGCTGTTTCCATATGTGAATCAAAGTTGTAAGATTAGAGCAACCAAAGTTCACTGATGAGCTGGCATGAAGGTAGGTAGAAATAAACAGTGAGAACTGAGCTTTGGGGAGAGAAAGCAAGCCACCTCCTTTTGGAGACCAGAAGGAAGTTGTCAATAAGTTAGGATGACCCAGGTGCAGAGAAAGTTCATCAATGCTGTTTAAGGCTTACTTCTCATTTGCTTTACAATATACAGCATTAGCCTTAAACAGATTCTTGAGTATAAATTTCATAAAGGCAGATACCAATTCTTAATTCATCCTCTATTTTTTCCCCCATTTATTTATTTTATTGCATTTTAGGTTTTGGGGTACATGTGAGGAACATGCAAGATTGTTGCATAGGTACACACGTGGCAATGTGATTTGCTGCCTTCCTCCCCATCACCTACATCTGGCATTTCTCCCCCTGCTATCCCTCCCCAGCTTCCCACCCCACACCGTCCCTCCCCTATTTCCCCCCAACTGACCCCAGTGTGTAGTGCTCCCCTCCCTGTGTCCATGTCCTCTATGTTTCTTTACACCCAATAGATTCAGGTGTTATCCAAGTGGGTAGAATTGTTTTCAGTGCTTCAAGATTATAATGTGTCATAAATAAGTCTTTCTTTCCTGAGCTTCCCATTTAGTCTGGTTTGTGATTTTAGCTATTTTCTAGTAGTTCTGGTCCTGCATTTTTGCCCCAAAGGCTTCACTCCACCTGATTTAAATGAGCAAGTACACCTAATAGGTACCAGACTGGTTTGCCTTTTACTCTTAATGTTCCTAGATTCAACATCCTTTTTTTGCTCTGTATTTAGAGTTCCAACTTGGAAATGAGATAAAAGTAGTGAATGTTCCTTGTATAAGGTCAGTTATACAGTTACGTATAAGTGAGCCTTCTGTTACCTATCATCAATAACATTCTGTATATTTGCCGTAAACAGGATCTAACTCTTTATTTCTGTTCTACAATCTCAGAAATGTCTTGTGAACATTTTTCATTGTTAGTGTATATTAATCCTTTTAAATAGTGTATACTATTCCGTTATATAGAGGCAGCATGATTGATTTAACCACTTTTCTGTTGCTGAGCATTTAAGTTGATTCCAAGTTGTTGCCATTACTATCGTGCTGCAGTGAATATCCTTATACATAGTTTCATGTATTCTTGGGCAAATCTTTTGAAAGGATTCATAGAAGGGAACTTGGCAGTCAGCAAGCAGTGGGTGGCAAAGGGAATGGACATTTCAATTTTTGAAAGTCTTTCTCACGTTACCCTCACGAACAGTACCAATTTGTCCTCTCATTGACAGCTTATTAGTGCTTCTTCCTTAAACCTCCCCAATAGTGGTCATAATCAGTCTCCTTTTTTGTTTTCATTTCTGCCAGTTAGTAAGTGAATATTTTTACTTTTGAGATTACCTTGCATTTCTTTGCTCATTATTCTTTTCATTTTTTAACAGAACATCTATGTTTTTTTCTTCTGTGAATCAACTATCAAAGTTTTTTGCCCACTTTTCCCTTGGCTTGCTATCTCTAACAGGATGTTGCAGAGGAAACAAACCATTATAATTTGTAGCAGATACTTGAGGTTAAGAATATCTGCCGCATGATTCCAAATTACACTATCCTTGTAGAAACTGGTAGTATCTATGTATGGTGTTTCTAGAAACATTGTTTTGTCCTGTTATTGTTATGTGAGGCTTCCCTTGAACTCACTTTACTGCTAAGCATTCTTTCTAATATCTTTTGTATTCCTGACATCTTAGGCAATTTGTCATTCTTCTCAATTTTCCCTTTTCAGCTCATATATTCTGTAGATAATTCAGTAATCTTGAAAATCTCAGGCAGAAAATTCCTGTCCTTAGATACATGTTTTTTTCAAAGAAGATACTGTTTTTAAGAAGTAAGGACATTTAAGAAGGCATATAGGAATTCTTATTCATGCTTTCCAATATTTAATGTTGTCATTAAACCATAGTTTTCTCCTCCCCCAATACAACTTTCTCCTTCTCTTCCTGTACTTTGTCCTTCACCCTTTTCTTTTTTCTTCTCTTTGCCTTGTCTCTGCTCGTTTGTTTCACTTTCTCTGTTTTCCTCTCTAGGTAGAGAGCTTTCTCTCTGACAGCAACTCTGAACCAATTAATGTTGTCTCCTGGAATTCTAGGTGAAAACTCTTAATAAAGCAGGCACTGATTGATTGATACTTCAGTGGCGAAACAATAGGTGTGCCCATTAAATTCAGGAGCGAGGCCAGGATGTACACGTTCCAGTTGTGTTTCCCCTTGCTCTGGAGGTACTAAGTGATACAGTTAGAAAACAGCAATTGTAGGTTTTAAAATTAGGAAAAGGGAGGCAAATAATACTATATAACCTATCGTATTTCTAGAATACTTGAGAGAATGAAATGGAAACTTTTTCTTAAATAGCTAGCAAGTTTAGTAATGTGGTTTAGTACAAAATCAATGCACAAAATCTGTAGCCTTCCTACATTCAAACAACTACTTGACAATAGAAATGGGAGTAAAAGAAATATACAATACCAGTTGTATTGTATACCAATATACAATAGAAACCCAATGACAGAATACCCAGGAGATAAAAAGTAACAAGAAATGAGAAAGGTCTATGTTAAAAAAAACACTATGACACAAAACTTATGTGTTGATAAAATGCTACAGCAATGTAACAACATCAGTTTTCCATATATTTATGTATAGATTTAGCATTATTCCATAAAAATTACTAATTAGGTTTTTAAAAATAAAATTCTAAAGTTCATGTGCAACATAAGATGTGTAAGAACAGACTAGAAACTTTTGACAAAGAAAAATAATGAGCCCAGGAGTGGTGGCTCATGCCTGGAATCCCAGCACTTTCAAAGGCCGATATGGATGGATCACCTGAGGTCAGGAGTTCAAGACCAGCCTGGCTGACATGATAAAACCCCCGTCTCTCCTAAAAATACAAAAATTAGCTGGGCATGGAGGCATGAGCTCGTAATCCCAGCTACTCAGGAGGCTGAGGCAAGAGAATTACTCAAACTTCGGAGGCAGAGGTTGCAGTGAGCCAAGACTGTGCCACTGCACTCCAGCCTGGGCAACTCTATCTCTAAACAAACAAACAAAAAACAGAAGCAATAGAACTCACTGGAAAACACCAAAAAATCATAAGATATGAAAAAAATGAGAATAGGCTAATCCTAATCAGATATTCAAATATCTGTTTGGTTCTGCCATGTTAATTGACAGTTTAATGAAACAGAATGGTATCTCTTAATATTGACCCAAATACATGCTGGATTTGGTATACAGTACAAATATATGAAATTGATATGTAATGTAGGTAGTATTTCAAACCAAGGGAAGAGCGATTGTTTACCTGTAAACAATAGTTAGATCCCTGCCTGATTCTTACACAAAAAGAAATTTCAGTACATCAGAAAATTTAAATGCAAGGAATTAAACCATAAAATTACTGGAAAGAAACATGAGAGAACGTTTTAAATATAATCTTAGACTGCAGAAGGTTTTTCTAATGATGACATGAAACCATACTGATAGGATTAACCATTGAATATACAATTGAATTTTCCTGTATGATAAAAGATACAATCAAATAAAAATATAAATTAAACATGCTTGCCATGCATATTACAACCAGAAACCTGATTTCCTCAATATGTAAAAAACTAGTAAAAATCAGTTCTAGAAAAATAAATGAGAAAACATTCTTCTCTCTTCTCTGGATATAGCTATAAGAAATCCAACACCATGCTTACATTGGGGAAAGGGAACTAGAGGCTGAAGCAACTCCCTCTTCATTTTGCACTGCTGGGTTTTTACCATGAGCATGTGGAGTGTCCTACTTTGTTCTGACTGCTATAACAAAAACATTATAGACTGGATGGCTTATAAACAACAGAAACTTACTTATCACAGCTCTGAAAGCTGGGAAGTCCAACATACCAGCAGATACAGTATACCTGGTTCATAGATGCTGTCTTCTTATTGTGTCCTCACATGGTAGAAGGGGTAAGGGAGCTCTCTGGGACTCCCCTTATGAGGGCACTAATCCCATTTACGGACTCTGCCCTCAGGATCTAATCACCTCCCAAAGACTCTGTCTCCTAATACCACTACCGTGGGGGCTAGGATTTCAACATGTAGATTTTGAGGAGACATAAATCTTCAGTCTATAGCAAGTAGTTTCCAAAGAAAATACATGAGAGAAAAACAAAGTGAGAAATACATTTTAAAAATTGAAAATCTGAAAATCTATGATTTCTTCAATTCACCTTGCTGCCACTAACCTGCACAAGTAGGAGAAGAGAAGGAAAAAGATAAAAACAGAAATAGTCCAGAAATAGTTGCAGGCATCTCCACTACCTTCCTTTTTTTTAAAATAGTAAATTTACCATTAAGGTTTCATCCGTGGGGTTTCTCTGAAAAACCCCTATATGATCTTCAAATGCTAAAAGAAATTTGCATTTCCAAGTGGGATCATTCTTCTTGTGAGTGGTGGGAAGTTTGGTCTTGCCATCCCCCAGAAAGTCTCCCTTCACACCTCTTTCTACCTTGCTTTAAGGACGATCTTACTTAAATTTTACTTATGGAAAAAAAAAATGTAAAATTCTCCAGCAGAAATGATGTGATTTGAACCATTTTCTTATGTTTGTATAGATTCTTAAGAATGCTTTACTATTAATTGAGCTACCATCAATTGGAAAACTTCTTAAGAAATTTAATGTACAGTATATTAGTCTGTGGTTTAAAGGATGGCACAACTCATTGCTCATTTAGATGGTGACTTTATCTTGGTGAGAAATGGCTCCCTATTTGGAGCAGTTAAGTTCTAACAGTATGGACACAGCTGTGTTACTTGCCAAAGCGTAGACTTATTTATGCAAGATATTTAATAGTACGAAGAGCAACTAGAATTTAAATTGCTATTATCCTCCAGCTTTCCGCCTTGTCCTGTAGGAAAGCCAACAGTGTGTGGGATTTTACAGGTATTTAAAAATCACTGGAAAGGATATTAATACTTATTAGAGTCTCACTATTCAATGGTGTCTCCAAAAACATAGCCAGTATCCTCTAAGTGAAATTACTATATGTTTTCCTGCAGTGGAAAGATCTCTATAAAAAGTCCACTTTGTGATTTTAAATGCTTCAGTTGTTCATCCAGGAATATCTCAGCCACTGTCCTGCATCTTAGTAGATTGGTGACATTTTTAGTGATAATTTCTCTATTACCAGTTTCAAGTCTCCTTCCTGTCAGGAAATGCAGAGAATGGGGAGTGTGGCAGTGATTGTATAAGAGCTTGTCCAGAGTTGGGATGTGGAACGGAAAGCATATTTCTACTTGGAGGGAAACGGCCTTCTAATTTCTTCTGTTCCTGCAGAAAATATCTCCCATAGGGTCTCAGCAGGGTGTTTTTTGAGCTCATTATGGATCTGTTACTTAGCCTTCTGGAGACATCTGTATTCTACGGGCTTCTGGCTTTTAGTCTTTGGAGAGCAGCTGTTCTCTGTCATTGTTACACTGCTTATAATTGGTGTGGGCCCATATTTTACAGTTTGTCAGTCTGGCAGGTTTTGAAGGCATTACTAACAGAACAGGTATAGATTTCCAAAGGCGATCTAGTCTCTATTTCTAGCACTTTCTGCAGGCTCAAGATGTACTTGACCATAAAGTGATATTTTACATTTAATGACTTGAATATCATTTTGTGAATTATCTAAACATTTTGTATTTCCTTTTAGTTCCAGCATTCATGCAAATGTAGAACCATACTGATTATTGAGAAACAATTCTCTCCAAGGTAGACCAGTAAAGATCTTCAGAATGTGTCCTTAAAATCATAGCTTAAACTTGTCACAGAATTAACATTTTGCAGATTTTCACATCATATCACCCTTAAGGCATCTTCTCTACTCCCCATATGCCCAGGCCCCATATTGCTGTTAGTTTTATGCCTGGGTCTCCCAATGGAAACAGAATAGTGCTTGCACAATTGATCAGATTACTCATGCATTTGATCCAATTGTATCACTAAGATAACTAAAAACATCAGATGGACTGGTTTAGGTTTTCCTACCTTGTTTTTCTTATTGCTTTTACGTTTGTCACAAGACAAGTCTCCAAATATGAAGAAGTGGAATGAATTTTAAAAAGGTATGCTTTATTCTCTCCATATCTCCCGTCTTTCTCACATAAATCAACTGTTCTTTTTAACTATGAAATTGTTAATGCTTTTGCCACTAAAATATACAGATACCATTCAGATGGACTTTGACTCTAAGTCTCAGAATAAACTTGCAGTCCTCTTCGTGGACAGCAAGCCATCATTAATTACCTACCTTAGTACATTTTTAATTTGCCTAGCAGAGCAGTAAAAGGATAATGTGAGCTATGAATAGTAATAGCTATTGTTTATTGAGAACCTCTTATAATCAACACAAAAGTAAGCATCATATACATAACTTATCTTTGAAAATTCCTTGTAGTCAGACCCAGCTAATATCACTGATATCACTCATGTAGACTTTAATTGCCAGACACTGAGCTGTCCTTTGCATTCATTATCTCCTCTGCTTCACAGCAGTCCTACAGGTACTGTTACTATACCCATTTTACGAATAAAGGAATTGAGACTCCAAGAGGTTCATTCAGTTCAAGTGTGGTTATCAAGTATTAAGTGCTGTGTAGGGATTCAAGCCCCCGGAGGTCTTCTGCCTCAAGTGCATTATATACTGTGTGTATTAAACAAGACTTTACCATTTTATAGACGGAGGAACTGAGATAAGAAAAGCCACTTGCATGGCTACCAAGTAAGGAAGCAAAGACATGGGCCCCCGTCTCTGATTCCAGTATTGATGTGAAAAACCATTATGCTACACACTAAAATATTTTGTTTGTTTGCTGTTGAGACAGTATCACTCTTGTTGCCAGTGCTGGAGTATAATGGCATGATCTTTGCTCACTGCAACCTCCACCTCCCAAGTTCAAGTGATTCTCCTGCCTCAGCCTCCTGAGTAGCTGGGATTGCAGGCGACCACCACCATACTCAGCTAACTTTTTGTATTTTTAGTAGAGATGGGGTTTCACCATGTTGGCCAGACTGGTCTCCGTCTCCTGACCTCAGGTGATCTGCCTACCTCAGCCTATTTCTAGGATTACAGGCATGAGCCACCATGCCTGCCAAAGAAGATTTTTATTCTATTCTTATTTTTTAAACTTTATGTGACTGAACTCTTAGTAACCCATATGAATTTTCTTTTTTCAATTCTGGTAAAGATATAGATTAAAAATCCTATTCTAAAAGTTTGAAATGTCTCAACTGGGAAGAAAGTCCTAAAACTGTTCTAGCTTGAACAGAAAATATTTCCATCTGTCACATTTGTGGATACCACATGGGGTTTTTATATAATGTTTTTGTTTGGTACTCAAGGCATAGATTAATTTTTACTTCCTTCGGGCAGACTGCCTCACATTCTGGTGAATTTTTAAACCTCCAGATAAAGATAAAAATTCAAACATATAAATAAGTCAGTATTAACTATATTTAAAATAAGTCACACTCCAACTGGGAAGATGATGAAAAATCGGAGGGCAGGGACCCTCATGAAATGTCAGGAACAAGGATGAATTAGAATCTATCTGCATGGCATACCCTCACTGGTGTGCCAAGCCTTCATTAACTGCTACTACTTCTTGGAAGCCTCTCCTGATTCCTCCAGATAGTATAGAGAACATTCTCCAAAGCTCCTGTAACTCCATCATAGCAATTATTTTAAATGTTTACTTCTATTGCTTTCCCACTGGACTCCATACTCCTTGAAATCAGGGACGAGGTTTTATGAACTTTGTGTTCCTAGCGCCTGGAACATTTGAGCCATACTTAAGACTTAATCAATTCAGTTCACAGTCAACAGATACTGAGCATTTAAGTACATGCCTGGCACTCTGCCAGGCACTGGGACAGCATAAAAAAAAAAAACAGTAGAAAGGGGAACATATAAACAAGAATGAACACTGGACTGGGAGCCTGAAAACTTGTCTTTCAATTCTATTCTGTCTGCTAATTCGGTGTTTGATCTTCAGTTACATTCCTGGTCTTTAGTTAGCTAAAAAAAAAAAAAAAAAAAAGTCTGGGCCCAAAGATATCTGAAGTCTCTCAACTTGTAAGCCTATGTAATTATCATCTCAAATATAACTGAACCATGTCTAATGTATTATAGGCTCACAATGTGGTCAGAATAGTGGGCCAGTGTGGTTAGAGACCTAAATATATAGGAATAGACTTCTAAGAGTGTGGGAATACTGAAAACTGGATGGATTAGTGCCAGAAAAAGCAAATACCAGAATGTGCTTAGGCTTGTAAAAAGGGTAAAGAACAACAGCAATAAGGCTTTTAAGATTAGTATGAGAACAAAAATAGGAGAGGTAAGCCTGAAGATTAGAATGGACAGTATGTGGTGTACATGTGATACACAAAGCAGAAACCTTCTCGTCAAGAAGAGCTTTTGTCTGCAAAGGGTAAAATAAGCATGGCTCAAAGGGAAGTAAACCCAAGAGAGGCACGCAGACAGTGGGCTTGAGGGCAGGCCTGAGTACATCTCTCTCTAGTGAGGAAGGTGGAAAATAAGATTTCCTAAAGTTGGTTTCCACGACCCACAATGACTCAGATTTATGTGAGATGGCGAAGGCCTGGAGATAGCCCAGCAGTATCCTAGTTTGCAAAGTAAAGAACACGTGTTTTGTGAATTTCAAGCTGGTAATCTTGATGTCTATTGCTTAGCAAAATTGTTGCTGGTTTATGAGCAGGGAATGGAAAAAAAAAAAAAAAAAAAGGATGATCTACATGTGGCCAAAAGCTAGCCCAAACTAATTTTGTATTTTTGGTTGCCTGCAGAGTATGTTCATATTTGTCATTTTTTTTTAAATTAAGAGACGTGGTCTTGCTATGTTGCCCAGGATGGCCTTGAATTCCTGGGCTAAAGCAGTTCTCACACATCGGCCTTCCAAAGTCGCTAGGATTACAGATGTGAGCCATCGCGCCCAGCCCATATTTGTCTTTTAACTCGGCCTTCGACATGATCTCTTTTTAGGGTATATGGAAACATTAAGTGTGGCTGGCCTTCTAGTTAGAGTTACTTATAGCCAGTTGAATGACACCATCAAACTGATGGTTGCTGATCAATATAGTCTGGGGCCAGGAAACATATTTTGAGCCCAGTGTCTACCCATATTTTGATGCCAGGTGTCCATTTTTATTGGAATTAAATGAATATCTAAACAAATGAACAGTGTCTACCTAGAAAGAAGTCTCTAGTGGAATATCACAGAGCTTTCTTTGCTCTATGCTTTAATTTCCAAAAACTTGGGTGAAGCTTTGGAAGTCAGATTTGTAATATTTGCAGATGAACACAAATTGAGAGGGACAACATGACTTTGGAAGCCAGGCTTAGGATCCAAAGAGACTGTTAAGCAGAAATTCTGTGCTCCAGTTAACAAAATGAAATTCAGTGTAGTAAAATCCTTCACTTGGATCTTTGAGGGAGTAAGTCCCAGACCTGCCCTGTCAGCCATGGTGGAGAGCAAAGAGGAGGATGTGGAGGTAGAGATATGGTCTCTTTTGAGTCTGTGTCTTCATACGCTAAAGGGGATCTGGACAGGTGCAAGAGGCCAGATACTCACCCAAGGTGAGGCCTTCAAACTTATGTACTCCCCCTCGCTTTTTGTAGGCAGTCATTGGGATTTGAAAAATGGAAGTTGGTTGGCCCACAGGCCTAGTTTTAAAGGCTGAGCAGCATTCTTTAGCATTTGGTGTTATTATGGAAACAGGAAGCAGAATAAGAAAAAAGAAAACCTCAAATGAAAGCAAATCTGGAGGCCCTTCCCCTTCTCAAATACTCTAAGACCACAGGCTCTGGGGCTACCTCCCAGCTATGTGACCCCAGGCAAGTGACCTAAGCTATGTTTAGCCTCAGAAACATGAAAAATAGATATTATAATTCGTACACCTCCAGAATTGTTGTGAGAATAAATGTTTTTGTACTGAAGCCCTTAGAGCAGTGCCTGACCATAAGCAGTATGGTCCGTTATTACTAACATTAAAACTTAGAAAAGTATGGCTTTTACAAGGAGGAGACTAGTTAACAGGGTTCTTAAACCCTCATGCCATAGAAAAACATACAAAATGAAAAACAGTCATAAAAGTGTAGGATGGAGGGCATGTATCTTTGCAGCATTGACCAAAAAAAGGTATTTTTGGGGGCTGTTTTTGCATATACTGAACACTGTGGACCAAATGGCATTACAGTTTGAAGATGCAGAGCCTGTAGATTCACTCACTATAGATTTTTAGTTGCACAAGGCTTCTTTTTTCTTTTTTCTTCTATTTTTTGTTATTCTTTAAATTCTGGGGTATGTGTGCAGAATGTGCAGGTTTGTTTCATACGTATACATGTGCCATGGTGGTTTGCTGCACCCCATCATCTACATTAAGTATTTCTCCAAGTGCTATCCCTCCCCATCCCCCCTTCCCTTGATATCCCAACCCTTGTCCCCCACCCTCTGACAGGCCCGTATGTGTGATGTTCCCCTCCCTGTGTCCATGTGTTCTCATTGTTCAACACTCACTTTTGAGTAAGAATATGTGGTGTTTGGTTTTTTTGTTCTTGTATCAGTTTGCTGAGAATGATGATTTCCAGCTTCATCCATGTCCCTGCAAAGGACATGGATGCATAGTATCCTTTTATATGGCTGCAGAGTATTCCATGGTGTATATGTGCCACATTTTCTTGATCCAGTCTATCATTGATGGGCATTTGAATTGATTTCAAAGTCTTTGCTATTGTAAACAGTGCCACAATGAACATACGTGTGCATGTGTCTTTATAGTAGAATAATTGATAATCCTTTGGATATATACCCAGTAATGGATTGCTGGGTCAAATGGTATTTCTAGATCTAGATCCTCAAGGAATTGCCACACCCTCTTCCACAGTGGTGAACTAATTTACACTCCCACCAACAGTGTAAAAGTGTTTCTATTTTTCCACATCCTGTCCAGCATCTGTCGTCTCCTGATTTTTAATGATCGCCATTCTAACTGGCATGAGATGGTATCTCAGTGTGGTTTGATTTGCATTTCTCTAATGGCCAGTGAT